AGATCAGTGAGTAAGCACAAGCCCGCCCATGCTTACCTCGCTCCTGGGGACTAAGCACAAGCCTGCCCGTGCTTACCTCGCTCCCGGCGACTAAGCACAAGCCCGCCCATGCTTACCTAGCTCCCGGAGACCCGGTCCCTTTCGGGAGGGTAACAACATACAATACAATACAATAGTGGTTTCCAATTTTTTTTTAAAAAAACAGTGAAAGTGTTCTTTCTGTAAAGTAATCTTATATGAAGTATAAATATAAAAAGATAAATGTATTTTATAGTATAACTATATCCATTCAAAATTTGTATGTTACAAAGTCAATCAGTGGGGGAAGTGGGCCTGTTCTAATGAGCTGGACATAGTGATGTTAATTACACATCATGGTGACAGGCTTGGGTCAATGTCAGCAACCAGGTTATTCCTAGACTTTGTTTTGGTCTTGTAATATTCACAAAACTCTGATTCACACGGATAAATAACTGCAAATAGTAACAAGATTTTTTTTTTGTTTTCGTCCCAACAGCTCAGTGACAAGCTGGAGATTCTCTTCAGGTCAACAGAGAAAGTGAAAAAAGTTTCAGCCTGAGATTTAAACAACAAGCCTCCCTGGCAGCAAAGGTTAAAAGGTAAAAATATTAAAAATATCTTTGATATGGGAAGTACTTCAGTGTGTGTTACTTATAATTCTGCTTTCAAAATAGTTTAAATTGTATATGTGTGTGTGTGTGTGTGTGTGTGTGTGTGTGTGTGTATATATATTTTTTTTTAAGTGAAATCCAAATCAAAAGTATGGGAAGCCCCTGAACCCCTCTGCAGAATCCCAGAGTTCCTTGGAACAGTTTGAAAACCACTGAAGCATCTTTGTGCTGTTCAGATCTTACTGCTGTGCCAACATGAGGCTTGCTGAGGGCAGAGCCAGTGTCCCAGACAGTCTCTGAATCCTCCCAGAGCTGAGTGCCTCAGAGGCCCTGAGGATAGGCTGAGCAGATGGATGAAGCAGCCAAAATGTTCCAAAGCCATCCCCAGAATTCAGGCCTTCTGGGCTCTCATGTTCAGTGATGAGGCTTAGACCCACCACAAGATTCACAGAAGCCCGCTTAAAGAGTAAGATCAAGAAGCCAAGATTTAGGGGAAAGATAAATTTAACCAACCCCCATCCTACTGCTGTAACTCCATGAAAGTCTCAGCTTTTTGTATCCTATTTCAGACCCCCGATACCTCTGATCCTGGACGAGGGAAGCATGGAGATATAAGCAAAATGGGGGGCTTCGGCCTTGAGGCAGGAGAAAGGGAAAGACCTGGCTGAGAGGGCAAACTTTTCTCCAAAATTGAGTTAGTTCCCTTGCTGCCCTGCCCCCTGGTTCTGGGCTCTAAATGCAGCCCCTGCAACCCTTCCCCAAGGAGCACAGAGATGGGCCCACTGAGGAGAAGAGACAGAGCCACACTTACTTTGCAGGGGCACCTCCCTCCGTTTTCATCCACCTGTAGAGAGAAAGATGGCAGAGAGAAAATCATGTCCTTTCTCTTTCAAGCCCATCCACACCTAGACCACCTGGGGGAAGGCAGAGGAGTCCCCATTCCATGGGGTTAGGAACCTCCATGTGAATAGACATGGAACACTCAAAGAGAAAGGACATTATAGCCTGCCTCCCAAGATGCTGTCCCCACTGTGGAGAGCAGCGGATTCAGGTGTCAGGGGCATGGCGGAGGGGGGTGAGAGTGGCATTCCAGCCTTAGGGAGGATTTCCATATTGGTGAAGGGAAAGACTCAAAAGGATGCCAAGCACATGACTCACACTCCCACAAACACAGGCAGAGCTCCAAGTTGAAGCAAATACACGCACATGCGCACACGCACGCTTTAAATGTTAGAGCGCTGGGTGGAAGGAAGGTATCTGCAGAGACTTACTTTCTTTCCTGTGGATCCAGAGCACAGAAGGTGACAGTGTTGAGAGGATAGTGTCGTCTGAAGAAGAGCCTGTGGCATAGACATCAGACAGAGAATGAGTGACCAAGTGACCACTTCCCCTACCTTCTACCTGCAAGTCAGGCCACCTTTCCACCATCTGTAGTGGACACGGGTTGACATAGCCTTTCCCTTCTTTGATTCTCCACAACCACCTTGTCAGTGTATGACAATGGAGATTTAAGCAATGCACAGAGACAAATTTGACACGGAATCATCTCCGCAATGCTAGGGACCAGGAAGGAAGGAAGAAACTGGCACTGAAGAATAAGGAATGGAGGGACCCTGGACGGGGAAGGGAAAGACTAAAGGACACTGTTAGGAGAGAGCCTGATGTTAAGAACAGTATTGAGCCTTTGGCCCATAGATTACCAAAGAATAGGGAGATGGAGTGCAAGGCCCTAGAAGGAAGGGACTTTTATCAGTTGTGTTTATAGCAGTATGCCCAATTTGTTGAAGGATAGAAGGATGGGGAGATGGCTTGATGGATGGAGGGGGAAATGGGAGGGATGGATAGATGGAGATGGATGGATACAGGGATGGATGGATCAATCAATAAGTAGCTGGACAAGAGGATGGACACATGAATATATGGATGGATATGTTAAGGGATGTAGGAGCTCTGGTGGCATAGTGCCTAAGGCATTTGACAGCTAACCAGAAGACTGGAGGTTCAAACCCACCAGCCACTCCTCAGAAGGAAGGTTGGGCAATCTACTTCTGTAGTGATATTGCCTTGGAAATCCAAGGAGCTCGCTATGAATCAGATCTGACTTGATGGCAGTGCGTTTGGTGTTTTTTTTTTTTTTTTTGGTTTATGTTAAGAAATGAGTAGATTGAGGTGGATTGGAGGCATATGAATGGTAGATAGAGATGAATTAATTGATGAATTAATGATGATATGAATTAATTGGTAAGTGAGAGGTAAATGTGTGGTTCGATAGATGGATGGATGATAAGAAGAGCCCAAAACAGAAGCAGGTAGAAGATTCTTACTTTCTCTGGTTGTCAGTCAGTGTGATGCCCTGGGCGGAGACCTTGAAGTGAACAATGGTGGCAGCTGGTGTGGGGTCAGCAGCCAGTGTCTCAGAAGTGGCTTTGGAGATGGCCTGTGGCCCAGTGAGTGACTCCATGTCCACCGAGTTGACGAACAGCACATTGCAGGCTGGAAAAAACCCACCCAAGGAGTCATGGGGGCTGGAGTGGGTGGAGACAATGCCTCAGGTTCACTCTTCAGAGAGAAGATAGTAGTGAATTTCAGGCCAGCCTTGAGCCAAGCCACTGCGTGTAGAAATGTGGTCTGCTCAAAGGAATTTGGGTCTGGGAGAGACTTCCAGCCTGCACCTGCAGGAGGAACAGGGCAAGAAGCAGGAAAGGCCTGGGCAGGGATCCAGGCCCCAGTGGTCACTTACCTGCCCCTTGCTTCAGCAGGTCAGTGGTGGAGTTGGCAGAGGCCGAGCTATCTTTCGATTCATCTGTGGGGTCTGAGACAAGAATTCACTGGTAATTAAAACTCTAGAGCTGGTTAGAAGCACAAGCTGGGCTAGGCCCAAGAAGAGCAATGCAAAAAACTCCAGGTAGCTCTGCAAATACTTTCTTCAACAGATACTGCTTTTCATAACAGGGCCTGGCCATTGGCACCGTGATTGTTCAGTACGAATGTTCAATGGTAACTCTAAGTATTCAGCACACTGGTTAGTGGTCTGGAGTCCAACAGAACTGGATTCAAACCCTCACCCCAGCCCTCTCTGAGTATCTATAAAACGGATATGATGACAATAGCCCCATGTCATTGGGTTTTGCAGATACTCCATGAACAGTGTTAAGCTCAGCAGCTGGAGTAAAGCAAGCTGTCAAAGAAGATGTTGTTTGGCATTGATTGTGGAGATCAGTGAATGACATGATTCACTAAACATGAATGCAGCCCAACTATAACTTCATAGTCTTAAGAACTGAGTGTTGCTCATACCAGTGTTTTTCAGACCTCCAGTGCAGGGTTTGTGAAAATGTGGACTGCTAAGTCCCACTCCCAGAGTTTCTCATTAGGTGGGGCCTGAGAATATGTGTTTCTAACAATTCCCAGAAGATCCTGCTGGTCTGGGGACGACACTTTGAGAACCACTGGTTCATACAATTTAAATATCAAACCATTTTATCATTGTTAAAACTACCATGGTATATTAGTAGAAAAATCATTTAATGAGTGTTTAAGTTGTGTGGTTAACAGTGCTATTCAAGGTGGATGTATTTGAACTTTTAAGTTACTAACATTGGTCAATTATTAGTAAGAATTCAATGAATTAGATTGGATGAATTGAAACTGTCAAATAACACTGGAGGGTATATGTGTGAGCAAGAAGCTTCAAGAGAGACTGGGAGGGAGTCCCAGGGCCAGAGCCCAGGAGAGCGTCTGAATGCTCTACTACTGAACAGAGTAAGGAAGAGCTATGCCAGTTCCCAGTTCCTACACCTCAAGTTCAGGGCCAGCCTCTAGTATCCTCATGTGGACCTGGTCTACCTGGGGACTAGGTGATAGAAGCCTGTGTTGTGAAGAGCTTGAGGAGTCTATCCATCATTCCCCAGGCTGTTCAGAGAATAGCTCTATGAAATAAGCTAAAATCTCCTTCCCCAGCCCAGTGACTCACTCACATTTTTGTCCCGTATGTGGTGATACTCTTGAGTTCTAGTCAGATTAAAGAGGACTTACTCCTCCCCACAACTCAATCTCCCTTCAGTCAGCCTAAACTAGAAATTCCGGGGACCTCTGAGCCCCACCTGTCCTTTCACATGCCATGCCCAGCCCAGTCACCTATTGTTCCAGAAGATCCCTCAAGCGTACTCTTTCCTCTTCATTCCGACTAACTCTTGAACATCTGGATGTCCCGTAACCTAAATCGGCCTTCCACTCCCCTTTCTCTCTATCGTAACACCTGCCACTACCCATCTCATCTTCCATGCATGGTCATCCCATGACTGTCTCTTCTGCTAATGTTCGTCTAGGATGAGGCTTATTCTGAGGATTCAGTATAAACTTCTCAAAGCTTCCAGAGAAATTTCCAGAACAATGTGGCAAGTCAATGATGTACGTTTCTGGAGTTACGTTTCCTTCTTCTTTATTAGGAAAAAGAAGGACAGTGGTTTTGAGTTTCCTCAGATTAGCTAAATGACCCTACAAGCCTGGCCCATGTTCCAAGTGGCTGGCATGGCTGAGACATGGAAGGAGGCCAGTTCAAGGGCCACATGGTGAGCAAGGAGTCTGAGATTCTTACCTCGGTTTGGAATGACCAGCTTACAGGGCAGAGCCAATGGGATGATGGAGTGCTGATAGACCAGGGCAGACAGAGATCCTGCAGAGCGGGAGAAACAGCACAACAGGAGTGCGTCAAGTGTAGCAGGAAACAACCCTCCATATAACCTTCAGCTTCTCCACTACTTGCCCTCATCTACCAACAAAGCTGAAAATCCATCTCCTTTTTGTTTTTCTTAAGCAAGGTCCAGGGGTGAAGATTCTAATGGGCTCACTCTAGCAATCACAAAGGTATCTAACCATTTTCCTTTATAGGAAGTTCCTGCTAACATTTCTTTAACCTAACTCCCTCCAGCTGTTGTGGCCCTTCTCAGAACAGTGCAATAGGAATATCAGGAGCCTGGAGGGTAGATTTTGCACAGGGAGAAAGGTAGGGAAGCAGGAATGCATAAGAAAGAAGGACACAGGGAAAGGGTAGCCACAGTGAGGAAGTGGGAGGAGAGCTGTTATGCTATGGAGACTGTAATCAGTGTCCCAAAACAAGATGTGTGAACTGTTGAACATAAAACGAATCTGCTTCATAAAAGTTCACCCAAATCACAACAAAAAGTTAAAAAAAAAAGAAGAAGAAGAGGAAGTATCAGGGGCTCTGAGGCCAGAGAACTGTGGAATTGAATCCTAAAACAATCATTTATTCTCTATGTGTTTTTGGATAAGTCTAACTTTCATGAACCTTAGTTTGCTGGGGACAGTGACACACCCACCAGGAAGGGTTGCTGTGAAGATCAGAAATAATATCAGGCACCAAGATGGTCATTTTCATGAAGTGGTACGTAAAAGCAGCTGCTATTACAGTTGTTACTCAACTATAACATCATCCAAGTTAAAATGATAATAAGTCTCAGCTGAGTGGGGCAAATACGGAATGGAATTCCATAGAGGTTAGGAGCCGCAATGCAGAGGAAAGGAAGCCACTGTTCATTTTACAAGGGGGACTGGGTAGAGCCGACAGTAGGAGGAACTTGGGGTCAAAGTCCTGGAGGAACCCTGGATAGGCCTGAGCCTTTGGGGCTAGCCTCTGGAGACAGAGGCAGGGGGACAGCTCACCAAAGTTTGGCTCATTGGGGCATCCCTTGAGTTTGACTCCTCTGGGACCGGTCTCTATCAGGAAATGCCTCACCAGCTCATGGGTCATATCTCCTGGGATGAAGAGAAAGAAATAAAAATCAATCATTTCTCAAGGCATCCTCCCACTACTTCCCAAGAATGCTTCAAAACATCCCCAATGTGCAGGGCTAAGATAAGAGATAGGATCCTGGAGAAAATGTGGCAAGAACTCTCTGGAATGAAAAGACCACAGCTCCTATCTCACTCCTCATGGAAACATAACCACAGAGTCCCAATAATCCTGCTTCCCATTCTCTGACCCCAACCATCACCAAGCCCAAGACTTGCTCTTCTGACAAGTTTGATGTCGCAGGGATCAACTCTTATGAGAATCAGAGACCTGCCCAGCCCTCTGGCTCCTTTCAGGATCTCGGGTTTGAAGAGACTGTACAGATCACCTAGGCCTGAGGCCCCTGTTCTTGGACATGATGTTACCTTTTTTATTCTGCTGCATGATGGTTGGAGGGGGAGAGGACACTTTCATGGCCAGCCCATATGCTCCTCGGAAGGAGTGGCTGTCACGGATGATGAAGGCCCCTGGCTCCTGGTCCTTAAGGAGTGCAATGGCTGGATTGGGAAGGGTTAAAGAAAGAGAGGAGAAAGAAGTTGGTGATACTGGCTTTCCTAAAGTCTCACTGGGCCTACTGGACCCCATTCATTCTTAGGCAAAGTGACTTCTTCAATGTTAGCATTTAAACACTCCTAAAGGCCACAACAACAACAAAGGCCCTCCTAGAGTCCTTGGGTGACACAAACAGTTAATGGGCTTAGCTACTAACCAAAAGGTTGGCAGTTTGAGTCCACCCAGAAGCATCTTGGAAAAAAAGCCTGGAAATCTGCTTCAAAAAAATTAGCTACTGAACCCCTATGGAGTCCAGGTCTATTCTGACACACATGGGGTCACTATGAGTTGGATTCAACTCAATGGCAATGGGTAAGAGTCCTGCACTAGAGGTCAGCAGACACCTTCTGTGAAGGGCCAGACAGTAAATATTTTAGGAATTGTGGGTAATGCAGTCTCTTTTGCAACTTCTCAAATCTACCACTGTAGCACGAAAGGAGTCACTGACAATGCATAAATGAATGGGTGTGGTTGTGCTCTGATCAAACTCCATTACAGAAACAGCCACAGTCTCCATTTGACCCAGGGGCCATGATGCGACACTTGTCCTACACCTGCCCAGACTTTCCTTGGGAGCCTGATGTAGGCTTCATCTCCATCTCCACATCTCAACTTTGCTTCATCTATAAAATGCAAACATTTCCTGTTTTATGAGGTTGAAAAAGTAACACTTCCAGATTTTGCATTTCCCAGAAAAACCAAGGCTTTGCTGCTTTTAAGGACCTCTCAAAGAACTGTCTATAATCACTGGCTCTGCTATCCCTACCGTGTTGCTCATTGTCTAACCTTTCCCCAGTCCCCTCTCTGTGGCCACCACCTACTACACGGAGGAATGAGGGTCTTTTCTGACTCATGCTCCTTGCCCAGGGAAGACACAGGCCTAGGCAGCAGCCAGCTATGTCCACTGATGGTCTACCGGACCCATTGTAGCCCAGCACTCACCCTGCTCTCTTGAGATCTCAGGCTTGTACCAATACTTGGAAGTGTCCTGGACAAACTTTACTTTTGCCCGTGTCTCAGGGCTGTTGTCTAAAAGAGAAAGAGAGGAAAGGAAAGTTAGTCTCCTCAAACATCCTCAGAGCATAGCAAGAAGGACTCAGAGTGCCTTCTCATCCATTTCCTGTCTCCAGGCAGGAGGGGTCTCCACCATTTTGGATCACTGAGCTAGTCTCCTATAGAAAGGCCTGGCATAGCACTCTTGGTGAGCCAACTGACCACCTTTCCTTCATCCCATCTTCACCTTTCCCTAGAAAATTCTGACTCTCTCCAGCTTCTTTCCCATAAGCTAAGACCCTCTACTTCCTAGTCCCTTTCTTCATAAACTTAACTTCCCAAAAGCATAATAACAACCTTGAGGATGCAGAAAGAAGCATCACCCAGACTTCCAAAGATGCACTTCTGACACATTCTCCCCCAAGCTCCTCCTCATCACCCACCTGAAAAGCCCACGCTCTGTATCACGTAGGCAAAGAAAGAAAAAGCCCTCCCTTCTAGGACAAAGAATTAAAAGGTTGAGCTAGAATTTAGAGGTCATCCACTGTGTGCCATGTGCCTCTCTTCTCTGGCAGACGCCTCTCCCCAGACCCTTCACAGATCACAGATGCTTTCCTAGAACATTAGGTTCTGGAAGGAAGCTTGGAGAGCATCTACTCCAATCACCTAATTTTAAAAATGAGGAAAGTGAGGATCAGAGAGAGGAAGTGACTTTCCCAAGTCACACAGATGGCTAATAGAAAAGCTCTAGTAAGACCTTCCTACATAAGAAAACCCCAATAGCCAGTTCAGGGCTGGCCCTACTAAATCTTCCTGTCCAAGTATGAGGATATATAGCCCTCACTCCTCAACCTCTTCCTTCATCTTCTGGCACCAAACCAAACAAAAAGGAGCATGGGAGGAAAAGTAAGCAGAGGGGAAAAGAAATATTCCAAGTCCACGTTTTCTCCTCTCCTTTCTGGTAGCGTAGTGCCTAAGGCACTTGACTTCTAACCAGAAGCCACTCCTCGGAAGGAAGGTTGGGCAATCTACTTCTGTAGTGATACCGCCTTGGAGGGGTCACTATGAGTCGGGTCTGACTCGACAGCACTTAACAACAACAACCTCTTCAGGGAGAGATGGGAGCAGAGGAAACTACTGATAAAGAAAGTTGCTGTAGAGTTATGGGAGATCTGGACATGCAGGTGGTGTCTCCAGTACTTTGTCAATTTCAAATTAGAATTTATGCTCTGCTGGACTTCTGGGAAGGCGCTCTGGTGGTACAATGGTTAAGCACTCAGCTGCTAATTGAAAGTCAGCAGTTCAAACCCACCAGCCTCTCTGAAGGAGAAAGATGTGGTGGCCTGCTTCTATAAAGATTACAGCCTTGGGAGCCCAATGGGGCACTTCTAATTTGTCCTTTATGGTTACTATGAGCCAAGATTGACTTGATGGCAAAGGGTTTGAAGTGCTAGGTTTAGGCTTCTGGGATTTGTATCTCTGGAGGTCAAGGACTGTGAGGGGCAGAGCAGCTTCCTTTCCTGGCAGCTGTGCACTGCAGACGGCCTCTGGGCTAAGCTGCTGGGCCCTGCAACTGCTGCATGCTCTCTCTCTCTCTGCTCTGAAACCCCGCGGTTGTTTAATGAGCTGTCAGAGGCAGCTACAGTCCCATGTGCCTTCCTGTGTTGATTCCAGTGGCTATTTTAAGCAGGGAAGATGGTGGGAAACAGGAAGTGTTCAACGACCAGAAGTTCTGTATCCTCCAAGGAAAAGAGCTGGGAACGAGATGTCCCTGGTGGGTGACAGGAAGCAGGGGTATGCAGGGCCACTGTAGGTGTCCCAGCTTGGCAGGCTTTAGGGCAGGACCTGGGAGTGACACAGTGAGAATCTGGGCAGCTGGGGCCCATCTCACACTCCTTTCCAAATTGCCTTGAATGTCCCAGGGCCCAACGCTACCATGCACATAGTTAGGTTCAAGGTCTAGCCAAGAAGCTACAGATCTGCCAAGGACTTGACCTATGTGTTGATAATGAGCTCTCTCAGTGGAGACAAAGATGTAAGTTCTGGTGACGAGTGAAGAGTTCACTGGGCAAGGCTGCATGAGCTTCAGTAAAAAGCCAGATGGGTAGAAACTAGACTCCAATGAAAATGTCCAACTTGGCCCATATCACACCTGGCTGCCAAATCTAGTATGAGGGGATGGGAGCGCAGTGGGGATCAAAATATGGGAACCAAGTGCTGTGGACTGACAAAGTTACAGAGGTCCAGGTCTGGAAGGTGCATTTTCATGGTGATACTAAATCACAGTAATTCTCAAGATGTGCAAGCATGATCAAGACAACTCCAATAATGTCTTAAGAACATTTTTTTAGATGGGCCTGGACTGGAATCTCAGCTCTGTCATTTATTAACTGTGTGACCCTTGAAAAATACCTGAACTTCTCCTAGATTCAGTTTGTTCATGTGTAAAATGGGGCAATAAAACCTACTTTATCAGTTGGCCATAAAGATGAAATGAGATAGTACTTACAGAACATACTATATGCTCAACAAACGGTAGTGGCTATGATGATGATGATGATGATGATGATGATGATGACAATAATAATACTAAAACCAAAAAAAAAAAAAAAAAACCTCACTTCTATCAAGTCAGATCAGACTCATAGTGACCCCTTCTTGGATTTCCGAGGCAGTATCTCTACAGAAGTAGATTGCCCAGTCTTCCTTCTGAGGAGTGGCTGGTAGGTTTGAACCACCAGCCTTGCAGTTAGCAGTCAAATGTCTTAGGCACTATACCACAAGAGCTCCCGATCATTATTATATTCATTATCATCACCTGCATCTTCCCCCTCATCACTGTCTCCTCATAGCATATTTCACCTTGAGGACACGTGAAAGTCCCATCATATAGATAAGGAAACTGAGGCTCAGAGGTCAGTGGTTTACCCAAACTTACATCAGAAGAGAGACCAGGGCAGATACCCTGACTCTCGGACTTTGTCAGCAGGAGGGTGGGAATGGAAGAGGAGGAGAGGCCCACCTGGCATGGAGTACTTGGAGAAGTCGGGGAGAGTGTGGGAGAAGGAGACACTGCTGCCCCCACTGGGACTGGACATGCCACTGGCTACAGGTGAGGAGGACACCTTTCCGTTGATGGTGGCGTAGTTGGGGAGGCTGCCTGCTCGGTCTCCCACTGACATCCTCCGTTTCTCTGGCAAGGCTGGTGTTGGGCTTCCTTGGCGGAAGGCTGCTGAATCCGGTGAGGGGGAGGTAGCAGGGCTGCTCAGGCCAGGGTAGAAGGCAGGGGAGACAGGGAAGGAGGGTGTGGAGGGAGCCTGGTAGCCAGAGGCACTGCTCTGCCGGGACAATGTGGGTCTCCGGTCATCTGGAGTGGAGTAGCCACCATAGGCCACATGTCGGTCCAAGCTAGGGCTGCCAGGAACCACAGATCCAGACCCTCCCAGGTGACGACCCAGGCTGGGGCTTCCAGGACTGGCTATTGCATTGCCGTGGAGATTGGAGGCCAGGTTGCCTTGGTGGGCTCCAGGGTGCCGGCCCAGGCTCGGGCTCCCAGGAGTGGATGCCACATTGACATGGAAGCCTGAGGCCTGGGGGGTTCCTGCTAAGTGCCGGCCCAGGCTAGGGCTCCCCGGAGTGGTCGCTGCACTGCTCTGGGGGCTAGAGACTGTGTTACCATGGAAAACAGTTCCTACATTCCCATGGGGACCCATCACCTGTCGGCTCAAACTGGGGCTGCCAGGGGCAGCCATGCTTGGGTTGGTGGCACGCCGGCCAAAGCCAGGACTAGGGGGAGTATTGGTGCCCACTGTTCTGTGGCGTGCCTGCGGGCTCTCAGGCACCGTGTGGACGCCGGCTACAGTGAACTGAGGCCGGGCCTGACTTTCTGGAGACGAGTTGAACTGCTGGAGAGAGTAGTCGGGGCTGCTGTAGTTGCTGCCCACAGTCGGGAGAGGAGAAGAGCTCTGGTAGCTTCGCTGAGCTGAAGGGCTGGGCTGCCCCAGGCTGCCAGAGCGGAGGCCAGAATCCAACAGAGGCTGGGTGGGTGTGCGTGGGCCTTGGTCACTGCTCTCCCCAGATGGGAAACTCCCCACTGAAGTGCTGGAGAGAGAGGGCAGAGTAAGATGTCAGCAGGTGGCATATTGTGAAGCAAAGAAGGGCAGGCTTTCCCCAAGCCCTCAGCCCCTCCCTCCAACCACTAACACCTGAGTTAATAGCTGAGTTAAGCAAGTACTTGCTGCCCTGCACGGGAATGTCAGGGGCCTTTGCACATTACCTACGGAACTGTCAGAGCAAGACGACAAGGTGTTCATTATCATCCTCATTTGACAAAGGAAGAAACTGAGGTTCAGAGAGGCTAAGCAATAAGATCAGGACCACACAGCCCATAAAAGACAAATGGGGTTTAAACTCCACTGCATCTGATTCCAAAGCCCACATTCTCTCCACTGCACCATGTGGACTAAACCATAACTCGAAGTGAACATGTCTCTCAGCATCACAGAAACAGAACACTGCAGAGGGACTTAAACTACTTGGCTCCTGTTCCTACTGGCAGTAGCCCTGCCTTGACTCAGTTTCTCCAGTTATAATATCACCATCTTTAAATATGGGAATGCTAGGATAGGGGTTCTGGAAAGACAATCAAGGAATCGTTGGGGAGGGGCCGGTGTGATCTCAAATAAAGATATTCAGCTCATTATAAGGTCTACCTTGTAGCCATTGGATCTGGCCACCAATGGAGCAAGCTGCATGGCACGTCATGAGGCTCCCATCACTCACTAGGAGTATTTAAGCAAAGGGTGACTGGCCTCTTGATCTGAATGTTATAGAGGCAATTTCCTCTACTGAGAAGTTAGATCACATGAGCTTGGAGGTTGCTGCCCATTTTAAGATGCTGATAAAATTCAGTTCAGAGGGAACTGTACCTAGACGAATAGCCACAATAAAAAGTTCTCCTCTGAAGAGGACAAGTGCCCATGAGCACTGCAGTGCAGCACAAGGCCTGGGAGTTGGGACACATGGATTTGACTCATTGACATTTTCCCATGTGGAAAATGAGGGGGCTGGATTAGATGACCCTAAGTCCTTCCAGACCCAAACCTCTACCCATCAATGACATGGCAGGGGACCAAAAAAGGTTGACATGGACCTTGGGTAGCAGCAGCTACAAGGAGTTAGCAGGCAGGCTAGGCCCCAGGACCCTGTGGAGGGCAGGTTTATGTAAGACAATGGCCAAAGTCTGGAGCTGCTGACTGGAAGGAGGCCCACTGGGCTGGCTGGTCTCACCCTGGGCCTGGCTAGATAAGCCCAGGTCCTCCAGGTGATGTGAAGTTTGGGTGGCTGGGTGGTCTTGGGCAAGGTAACAAGCAAGGGCAGGGAGAAGGCCAGGGCCAGAACAAAGTCTACCTGGCTCCCCAGAAAGAGGCCAGAGTGGAGCACCACTTGCTACGTGGAATACACTGGCCTCTGAGAAACTGGAGGCGGAGCAGGCGGAGCTGGGCAGGGGAGGGGCACCAAAGTGGAGTTCTGGAAAACTGATCCCAGCGAAAAAAACACTAGCTTCCTGAGTCCTGAAAAGGGCCAACACTACAGCAGGAGAAATCGGGGTAAGAAAAGCGAAGAACTTCCTAACCCCAGGGGTCACTGAACATCAGCCATGGGGGGCTAGGGCAAGCTCGAAAAAATCCCTTACCCCTGTCCAGAGCTGGACCTCCTGAGAAATGGAGCCACCTGTCCCCGGCAAGAGGCTGGGGAGGGGACAAGGTCAACTGGGGATGCGTACTTGGCTTAAGGTTTCAGGATACTTAGAATCCAGGGAAAACTGCCTTTGCACATTCCACCACCCAGGCCCCTCTCATCTGGAAGAGGCACCAATTTAGGGTCCACTGGGCCTGGCCTGTGGGACCATGAAGAAGGAGGTGGCTAGAGTTTCCCAGTCTCCTCCCACACACCATAAAGAAGGCTAGGCTAGGGATGGGGAGGGGAGTGGGCACCAGGAAGGGACGTCAGGGGGAGAGTGTCCCTCCTGAGGGGCTAAGTTCCACCCAGGGCAGACTAGCCTGGTCCTCCTTCCACACTGGGCACCCTGTGCCCTGTCCCCCCCCCTTTCATATGCTATCTTCCCCTTTCCCTGTCCTAAAGTCTTTGCCCCCCACTACTCCAGCCAAGCAGCTTCTCACTGCACCCCAAATACAGGTGCCCTCCCTCTTCTGTGCCTGTCAGGCATCAGGAACTGCCCATCATCCACTGCCCAATGTGGTGCTTTCCGCTGACCACTCAAAATGCAAGGCACCCCTCCACCAGGTCACCCTCTGCCCAGCCCCTCCCACCGAGCTGCAGCCGTCAGCCCCCACACCCGACACATCCACACCTCTGGTCCTGTGTCCCTCCTGTGCTGGCCTTCTAGAGTGCCTCTTGCACCTTCACCTTTCAACATCCTGCTTCTCCTACCGGACTCACTGTAAATACCTCCAGCCTCAGAAATGCCCTCTGCATCCCTGACCAGAAATCAGGACTCCTTGCTCTGGGCACCAAATACTTTCCAGCTTTGAGGCATACCTGACTCTTATCCTGCGTGGATGGGCACTAGACACAGGTATGGGGGCTGTTAGAGACCTGGGCTCTGGACCAGACACTTTTGGTCTGAATTCTATTTCTGCATGACCTTGAGCAAGTGACTTCACCTCTCTGTGCCTCAGTTTTCTCTTCTGAAGAAATGGGGCTAATAATAGTACTTACCTCATAGGACTGCTGTGAGGATTAAATAATATAATGTCCAAAACACTTAGCACAGTGCCTGGCACACAGGAAGCATGGCTACAGACTGTGTTAGAGTTTCTACTTGGGGAAGGTGTATGTCTCCTTCACTTCTGTACCCCCCACTCCTTCTAGCAGAATTCTAGATGGATGGAATTGAATTGAGCTGGGATTTCTGTGTTAGCCATTCCTGTGCTCCTCACAGGAGCCAGCACTTTGGGGGTTCTCTATAAATGGACCCTGATGAGCTGGTTTACAGGAAGGACCATCTGCATATGATTCCTGTCGACCACACTTCAGGCAGATCCGAGATGTCTCACCCAGCCTGCCCCAAGGCTCGGTTCCCATCTTCCCTGCTTACCTGTCTGCGCTGAGGATGGGGCTGCTGGTGGAGAGAGGGCTGGGAGAGACAAAGGAGCCGCCCAGTGCCCCATTCTTCAGGGGCGTCTCATGGCCATAGTTTTGGGCAGCTGAGGTGCTGAAGCTCTTGGGCTCGGGCTCCTGGGCTCGGGGCCCAGCCACAGCCGTCCGTGCCACAGACTCGACATAGCTCCGGGGCTCTGGAAAGGGCAAGAGGACAGAGACTAAGAGCACAGACCCACAAGACCACAGCCTGCCTGGAGTCCAGCTGATGGGGACGGGCAGCATAGCGACAGCTCCAAACTGACAGCCAGGCATGCAAAGGACACTCTTCCTGGGGCTCCTGCCTGCCTGTGCCCAGCCCTCTTCCTGGGGCCTTGGAGAAGCCAGGAGAGGCCCAAATCTACCGTTCACCAGGCAAGACTCTGGGAAGCCAGATCGGATCCCAGGCTCTACGTCTGAGCATGACCATCAAAGAACCTTCCTTCCCTCCAAGAACAAGGACATCAGTCCGTAGGGGAATTCCAGTCGAGGGGGAATTCCCTCGAACTGCTGAACTTTCTTCAACGACCCTGCCTTCCAGGGCCCCCTAAGCTCCTCAGCCCCCATTCAACTGGTGAGCTCTACAGTGGACACAGAGTTCAGGCCCAGCCTTGCCCATTTCTTGGGGCTGTGCCAGGGTTCACACAGGCTCCTCCCCACACCCAGAATCCAGCAACAGTCCTGCTTGCCTAGCAACAGACCTGCACTGGGAGTCATGCCCAGCAGCAGCCACGGCCAACTCGCCAGCTCCAACGTCTTTGATGCCAAGCCACACCCATCTAGCTTTCTGCCTGACACACTTAGCATTCCTCCCAAGACTGACATCAGGGAAATGGCTCCTATAGGAACTAAAAATTCTATCACCAATCTCTTGGCATTTCAGTGGCATTTAGCAATTTACAAAGGCCACTGTATATACATTATCCCCACTGCGTGTTCAGAATATCCTCAGAAGAAGGAGGAGCAAGTGTCAAAAGACCATTTTACAGATGAAGACGCTGAGGCCTACAGAGTGAAATGATGGAGGCACGGGGAGGACTCAGGCCTCCTGACTCTCAACCCAGCAATTGCCTGCGTTCCCCCCACAGCCTCTCCCTGCCACACCACACGCCCTATGACGCCACCTCTGGCTGGCCTAGAGAGAGGCCACAGCTTCAAGGGACCCCCAAAGCTGGCTGCTACCCAGACTCCTGTTCTGCCCACACCATCCCCCAAACCTCTGCCCGAGGCCCAGCTAGTCAGCCAGGAAAGAGCCAATTCCACAGGCTTATTCATAATGATAAAAATAGCAATTATATGAGGAAAGTAGGATTTGGAGAATGTAAATAACTTGCCCAAGTTGCACAGCTAGCAGGTGGCAGGGTGGAGCTAGGAACCCAGGCGGTCTGGCCCAGAGCCCGCACTCTTACCCACTGCACATACGCTGGCTAAAAAGTGGGGGACTGATAGTCTCGATGTGTGTCTTTAGTCTTGGGGGGCTGGATCCTTACCCTGAGGTAACCCTGCTTGACAGAAGAAACTGCTGGAGACTTCCCAAGCACAGAAAAGGCAAACGAAGACCCAGGCCCAGAGGCCACCCTCCTCTCCCATGCCTGGTCACCCTGTGCCACTTTCTCAGAAACTCCTGGACACTTCCAGGCTCTCCCCGTGGCTTCCTCTGGGTTCCTCAAGTACTCGGCACCCCTCCAGTCCCCCTAGGGGCTCCAAGTTGGGGTTCATCTTCTCCTCAATCATCCGGTGGGCTCCTTGAGTGCCCAGGACCTCCCACAGCACCCAGCACATAGTAAGAACTCATATGTCTGTCACATGAATGAAGAGATGCACGGCCTGAAGCCCCATTCAAATGGCAACACATGAATACCAAGTCCTAGAAAGACACACATTCATTTGTCTCATTCCCTACCACTCTTGCTGACCCAGAAAGTTCAAGTTAAAACCTACATGGCGGTTTACGCTTGTCTCCAATCCACTGATGCTCCTGATCTCTACTCTATGTCCCTGGAGGCTGACTTTGCCCAACTGCATCACCCAGACCCACTTGTCCTATGGTTCCAGATGGCTTTGGCCTTTGCCTGGCAGGTGGCACAGGCAGGAGATGAGAGTGAAGGAGGAGAGAAAGGTTGAGATGCCAGTGGGTGCATCTCTCTACCAAAGCCCACAGTTCTGCCCTCTGCTCTCTCTGGGTTCCTGCTTCTACTAGGGAACACCCGAGCGTGTCTCACCATCCCTCACTGGTTTGCCCAGGCCTTTTAAACTTTCCTTGGGTGTCCCATGTGCATGACCCTGATCCATACACTGAGTAAGCACAGTCGTCACTGCCCTACTCCCCTCCCTGAAAGGTAGAGAAAGTACATCCACCCCTTCTATTAGCAGTAGAAATAGTGAGATAAGGTGGACATACCACCCTGTCTGGTGGTCAGGACAGAGCCTGGGCCCCTGGGTGCTGACCCCCATCTGGCCTGCTGACCATTAGACAAGCCTGAGTCCCAGAGTCCATGGGACAGTAAGTATATTAGGAACCCTAAGTGCTCCAGAAAACCCAACATGGCTGTATCTCAAAGTACCAGCCCATCCATCCATTGCTCAATTGCCCCAGCCCCTGAGCCACAGAAAAGCCAGAGGAGCTGGCAGAGGGCTCTGGGTCTAAACTTGGGATACAGGACTGCTTACCCCAGGGAGAAGCAGCAACATCTGTTGCCAACAGTGCCAGGAAACAGTCCTCGTAAGTGGAGGTGACCAAGCTCACCAAGGAGCACACGTGGCCTCCGGGAATTCAAGTGGGGCTGGCAGCCTGTGGATTTCTGAGACCCAGCCCCACCCTGGCTCCACCCCCTCTGCCCATCTTCACCTTGCTCTCTATCCCTTCCAACTCCCCTTCCCCCACACACCTGTGCTCTTCCTCCCACCCAGTCCTTGTCCTCAGTTACACACTCTGCAGCCAGGTGCTCCTTCTTTGCTCCTCCAGACCCAAATCAGGAGGCAGACATGAGCAAAGCCCTTCCATGCAGTCTCCAAGGGATGACCCCTTGGGAAACGATTTGACTTCCTGGGCTCATCTCCAGAAACATTTAAAACCAAGCTTCTGGGCCAAATATCCGTTTCTCAGATTTCCACATTGAAAATCCTTCCTGTCTCTCTGTCTGTTCCTTGGCTTTTTTTCTCTTCTCCCCAACCCTCACCTAGGACAAGATTCTAGCATGGATGCTATTGTCCCCATACTCAAACCACAGCCCCTTGTTTCACTTACTAGAGAGGTAATCTGGGGAAGGCTGCTGAGCCTTTCTGTGACTCAGTTTCCTCAGCTGTTAAATGGTAATAAGGATACTCCCCTGCCCCGCCAACATCAAAGGATAAGAGAAAAGAAAGTTCTTTCTGATTCTTTCCTGCTAATTCCAGTTCTGGAGTCCCAGAGTGGTACAAACATTTATCACACTCAGTTGCTAACCAAAAGGTTGGAGGTTTGAATCCACTCAGAGGTGCCCTGGAAGAAAGGTCTGGCAATTTATTTGCAAAAAGTAAGCCACAGAAAACCCTCTGGGGCACAGTTGTACTCTGACACACATGAGCTGCCATGAGTCAGAGTCAACTGGGCAGCACCTGGTTATTGGTTAATTTCAACACAAACGTTTAGAACTAGACCCAATGTTGCCTACCTATACCCCCAGGTAGCCCCTAGGTATGCTTGATCCTACCTCCCCTCTCCTTCTCTCCCATCCCTTCCCTTCCCTTCTCTCACAATCCTGGAGCAGCTGCACCAGAAGCAATGGGGTGTGGGACTGTGAAGAGCAGGAGAGGTGAGGTCAGGGAGAGAACTTCACACAGAACATTCCAGAAGCCCAAACCCAGTCCAAGTGGCTGTTGGCTCCTGAGAGCAACTGGAGGCACAAGAGTCAGTTGACTCTGACAGTCGACAAGTCTCCTTCAGCCCAGAGCTCTGTTAGCTCTCCACCCACTCCCTGAAGTGCATTCTCTGCCGCCTGGAAAAAGGTTCTTTGCCTGGCGAAAAGGGCCCGCCCACCCCAAGGAAAATGAAGACAAGTGGGTGGGGGAGAGGCAGGATGTAAAGAAACTCCAGAATCCCTGTTCCAGGAGCTCAAGTTAGAACTTCAAACCTTCTAGCTTAGGCCACGTCTCTCCTCCGAGCTCCTGTAACACTTAGTTCCTGCCCACAGCACCACGACCACCTATGCTGAAATATCTGTTGGCTTCTCTCCTCTCACCAACTGTTCTCATTCATCTTTACACCCTCAGTGCCTACGACGGGACCAGGCACAGAGCCGCTCAATAAATCTGCACTGAACAGCCCTGCCCCAAAATTCCAGATGTCCATGTACACGCAGCACCAAGGACCTCAGAGCAGGAAGAATCCCCAGATGGGCTATTACTAAACCAATGTTTCCTTTATGCCAAATCTGTCCACGTCTAATCACATGGCAAGCAGACCCTAACCTGAATGCTCCGTGTCCACATCCTTGGGGAAGATGTTTCAGCAATTTCTTCCCCTACTTCACTGGAAGATGTTCTTGATGCTGAACTCACATCCTTACTGTTGCAGGCTTTCTCCCTCTCCTTCCTCTTGGAGAGGAGCACCTGGTCCCCACACCCAGTAAAGTCACTGTTTAGAGTCATCTGAAGTGCCCACTGTGACCACGTGGACAAAGGCAATCTCTGATCCAGCATAGGCTCTCAGCCATGTACATCACTGAGTGTATAAACCTGGGCAAGGCATCAAACTCTTTCAACTTCATCTCCTTATTGGCAAAAGGGGGTTCCTAACACCTTCCTCTCAGGGCTTCTGGGACTATTAAACAAGATAATAAGACAGTGAGTCCGTATGGCCTGGTGCCCGGCTGCTGAACCACACCCACCCTTGTTCCAGCTTCTAGCTCCCCCTTGCTTAGTGCTCCTATCTCATTGATTCTGCAGTTCTTAGAAAAATATGCTGTTCCCTCCCACCCCAGGGCTTTGCACATGCCATAAACATGCTATTCCATCCTACCACAGGGCCTTTGCACATTCCCTTTTCCAATAGAAATGGAATGCTCTTTTCCAATTTCAGTTATACCAGCTTAGTGCCCATTCACCATCACATCTTCCTTCTTCAGGCTAGGTCAGTTTTTCTGCTCTAAGTCTCCTAAAATGGTATTCCTTCCCCTTTAAGCACTTATCTCAGTATATAATTACGAATGATCATTTAGTTTCTGGCTCCTGTTCATGCATATGCTTCATGAGAGTAGGAGCTGTATTTTGTATCACTTATCATTGTGTCCTATCCCCACAGTCTGGTACAGTGCCTGTAACACAGCAGTCACACAAAATATCTAACGAATGAATGTGAAGTATTTAGCACCAGGCCTTGAACCAAGCAGACAGCCCCTGGAGTCGTCTTTTCTTCCTCTGAGTAACTGTGCCTCTGATCATTTTTCCTCATGTTTCTTTCTGAATTTCCCATCAAAGTATCAGCAGGGAAATCAGGCAGAGCTTCAGAGGGTCAGCAAAGAATGTGCTTTAGTCTGACCCGGGAGGTGGTGCATGAGTCAGGAAATACAGAACTGGCTGCCTACAGCTTGCTCCTTGCCCCTTACCCGCCCTCACTCCCAGGCCACTGATAGCAATTCCACCTCCCACGTTAGAACCCCAGGGCACGGTGCCTGGAGGCAGGAATTAGGCTTTGAAATGGCCACTTGACCAGGAGACCACTAATTCCAGTCTCAGCTCTGTGGTCTCCTAAGCGTGACCTTGGCCCCCTCAAAATGGACCGCAGTTCCCCATCTGTGAAAATGCTATGTATGGCCAAGTTGATCCCTGAGAACCCTCACCTTCCAAACTGAGTGTCTCAGGGACAGATGTAGGGGCCAGGCCTGGGACCTTGTAAGCTGAGAGTCATTCAGGGGGTGCACTTGGCAGGTCTCAGTCAAGTCTGTCAGTGCCATTCCTCAGAGTCACCCCAAAGTAGGAAACACAACGGCCAGGACTTCTCAGTCTGTGCAATAGCCCACCACTCAGACCTTCCTGCTGGAGGGTCTGTGGTCCAGGTCTATTTATGTTGGCCAACCCCAACAAGGGCTGGGAGCTTAATGCTTAGTCTGGCATCTGAAACCCAGGAACACTGGCTCAGGGTCCATCTTGTTCTAGACTCCACCCCAGCTGCACTGCCCCATAGGGAACCTGCAGCCTCTTGTTTGGGGGGAAAGCCCTCTCCATAGGCGTGGGTCAGAAGACACCAGAGCAGTCTTATCCAGCAGACAATAGAGTGCTGTGGTTCACTCCATTCAGGGACCTGTTACTAGGGCCTGCCTTATTCTGCAACCCTGGCTGGCTAGAATGGGCAAAGCTTTCCGGGAAGCTCCAGCCATCTTATCTGGCTGATGGCAGATTCACAGGGGCACAGACCAGGCCCACTTTGGGGGTGGAAAGTCAAGGTCGTAAATACAAAGCCATGTGGGAATGGGCCCAAGAGAATCAGACAAAGTCTTTAAAGAAATTACAGATCTGAAGACAGCAGGTGGGAAGTCAGAAAACTTAACATCTTAGAGCTGGAAGGGACCTGGGCACCCTCCCAACACTGTCCAAACACTCTCAGTGGAGATGGGGACACCACTACCCAGAACCACCCACAGGTGGCCTTGCCACCACCCTAGTTTCACCCGCTATTCTGGTCCTCATTTGAATTCTGTTGCTAGTGAGTTAAAGGCCTTCAGCCAGATTATGTCTCCTCTACACTTGTGACACAGGGGCTCACTGGAATCAAGGGTTAAGCTGGGGTCCACTGACATGCCAACTCCTTAAAACTGTTTGTAAAACTATGTGCGTGGGTATCCCGGTACATTTTTGGAGGCAGAATCCATAGCTTTCCTGAGATTCCCGAAAGTGTCCAAGATCCTGGAAAGGCAAACTTCCTATTTTCCAGGGTGACAGGAAACCAGGCAGGGGCTTCAAGAGGTCAAATCATGGCTCTAAGACAGTGGTTCTTCACTGGGAGTCATTTTTCTCCCAGAGGACATGTGGCCATGCATGTCTAGAAACATTTCTGATTATCATGACTGACAGGGTACTACTAGCATCTAGTGGGGAGAGGCCAGGGATGCTGCTGACCACCCTACAGTGCACGAGACAACAAACAACAAGAGGTGTCCAGCTCACAGTGTCGACAGCACCCGAGGTTGAGAATCTCGCTCTGGGACAAGCACAGGGGCATGCTGGGATATGGAGCAATGAGCTCCCTCCGCCTCCACCTCTGTGTATGAGTCATCTGACCCTCTTAAGGGGGGGGTGTGCTGCACAGCCAGCAAACTGGCAGAAATGCCGCCAGGGGAGGGACTGTTCATCCAGAAGGTGACACCGCACTAGTGCCTGGGTGCTCGCTGTGCCTGAGCTGTGCCCAGCAGCTCATGTCCCCAGTCAGGACTCATGTGGTGTCCAAGGTGATAGCTTACTGCCTAGGGGAGGGGACAGGGAGGCACTGTTCCTGGTCACTAGAAACCCAGTCAGAAAAGAGAGATGCCCTCAAGCCAGCCAGAACAAGCTGTGTGTGAAAAGCCATGCCCAGGCCTAGCGGGCAGGAAGCTGCCACACACTTACCTTCAGAAAGCTCAGTCACCACCTTCCCCTCATCCTCCTCTGGGGGAAGATGGGAAGAAAGGTGGGAGGGAGGAGAGGCAGGCAAGAAAAGCAGGTGGTAGAGGTGAGAGGAAGAACAAAAAGGAGAGAAAAAGTGGTTAACAAGGACTACTTTTTGAAAAAGATACTGCTGAGAAAAGGGGGTGGGCAAGCCAATGAGGTGAGGGCACAGTTGTGTGTCCCCCCCACCGAAGATCCCCTGGTAAGGAAAGAAGTACTGCCATGTACAGGGCCCCAGGGCCAAGAACAGGGTGGTGAGTGAGGCACACTGTAGGGAGTTGCCCACTGTGGGACCATGCCTTGCGTGGGCCAAGCCTCAAGCAGACATGTGCTGGCCTGGTTAGAGGCAGGTTCCCATCCCCTTTAAATTCTGTGACTCAGTTTTCTTGGCCATGCAGAAACACCTCCTGAGTGGGAGGCTGTGGCCAGGCCACGTGTGTCTGGTGGGTTACAAAGACATGCCGCTCCCCTCCTACCTGGCTGGATCAGTTTCCTGGTGACTAAGGAAAAAAAGGTAACATTGGGACCAAGGGCCCCAGACCAACCCTAAAACCAGTCTAGGGAGCAACTCCCTGGGCTTAACCTGTTCTAAGGAGTCACTCAAGGTCCAAGGCCACCACTCACCCCTTCCCCATGGAAGAAGCTGGAGGTATGAGCCTGGGCAGAGGAGACCCTTCTCCCCAACAGCACCCTTCTCCCCTCAGCACCGCACTCCACTCTGTAACAGGATAGGGTGCTGCTGACTCAAGGCAGAGCTGGGCAGTGGCCTAGACAAGTGGCCTATTTCCTGCCTCAGCCCCAAGCTCCCAGGTGCCCTTCCTCAGGTACAGGGCAAACCACTGCCCAGCATCAGGGATGTGGAAGAGGGTACAGGCTGGCCAAGGCAGGGGGGGCGGTCAGGAGCCCAGTGGTGGTGGAGATCCAGGGCTGAGGAGGGCAGAGTCAGGGAGATGGCTGATAGAGGTGTCTGCTGCTAGGCTGTGGGTTTCCCAGGCAAAGTTTTATGGGCCAGAGAAAGCAAAATAGGTGAGCACCTTGAACAACAGCTGTCAGGCCTCTGGCATCTCAAGGATCCTCAGAGCAGAACCAGCTTGGCTAGAAGTGGGGACCCTGGCTCAGAGCAACAAGGTCATATTTCTTTGGCTGCATGTGTGTCTACACGTGCATATACTCAGAATGCACGTATGTGTGTGCATACAAGTATGCATGTATGAGTAAGTGTACATGTGCATGTGTGTGTGTGTGATTGTGTGTGAGCATGTGCATGTATATGTGTGTTTGTGTGGGTATGTATGTGCATATAGGTAGGCATGTGTACACACGTATATATGTGTCCATGTGTGTACATACATGTCCTGGGGGCCAGGAAAGGAAACAGACCAGGCTTTCAAATTCCAAATTAGACAATGCTAGGAGTGGGGTTGAACCCTCAAGCCAATGGCAAGAACACTGCAAGGAATGTGTAACTCCCGAACCCCTGCACAGAGAGCCCCCACCCCGGCCTGACCAAACTAGCGGGCCATCTTGTTTCCTGGAGCATCCCAAGAATCCTCCCCCACTGGGCATTTTCTGATTCCATCCTGAAGCCCTGACCCAGGACTGCAGGATCCCCCCTCATCAGCCTCGCCAGAGTCACTCACCGCCCGTAGGGTGCAATAGGATGTCCGCTGGGTTGTGGGGTTTCAGGCCCAGAGCAGACAGAGGCGTCTTGGCCAGACCTGGAGGAGAGCGTACTGTACCAGAAAGAAGAGAAGAGATACAGAGAGTGAGTGAGCAAGGGGGGCATGTGGGGAGAGGGATGAGGGCAGGAGGCTAGGAGACTCTGGAAGAAAAGGTGTGCTCTGGCCAGGGATGGGCAGAGGAACCAGCTTCCAGCCCCACAGGGGGCTGGCTTTAGCTCCACTACCCTTGCCCCTCTCCATGTTTCTCCACATTTCTGTGGCTTCAATGACAAAGGCAAGGAGCACTAAGGTGGGAGTCAGGAAACGCTGCCCTGTCCCAGCCTGGCCCTGCCCCCAACCCTGATAAAATCATTTCCATCTCTAAGCCTTTGGTTTCTGCTCATGGTCCCTTTACATGACCAGGCTCACCACATGTTTATACAGATTTCATTGGCTGTCTTCTCTGTCTCTTTGATATCCTCCTCCTCCTCCTCCTTCTTCTCCCTTTCCCTCACCCCATCCCCATTCTACCACAGTATTTTTAACAATGGATTTAGTTGGACTTAGAAGAGAAGAAAAGACAATGGACTATCAAGATGACACATGCCTAAAGGACAGGAGGAAGAGCAGGAGATCACAGACTGGAATGATGCCAACCCTGAGACCTCAGGCCATCCCTCAGCCCAAGATCTATGGCTGCCCAGCCCAGGGTGTCCCCTGCAGTCCCTGGAAAGAGAGAACTGCTCAGTGTGGGGCTTCCTCTGCTCCTGAATCTCAAGTGTTCTGAAAGAAGGAGAAGTCTAATTCCCACAATCTTTGGGCTAGAACAAGCCCCATCTTCCTCCTAAGCCATCCATCTGGGTTAAGAGTGTCACTTAACACACAACGTCCAAAAGGGTTCTCAAGCTTTTTCCCAACTGCCAAGAATGTGGCCAGACTCTGAACCTTTCTGAAGGGTGGCTGTTGTACCCAGTCATGAGATTTCTCAGTGGCGACCACCACATCTCTTTTAATACACCTCTGAGAAGTGAAAAAATGAGCTCCGTACCTCCTATCAGGGACATCAAGAGCCTGCAAAGGCTGAAGCCCCTGAGGACACCAGCCAGAACATGATGCTGCCTGCCCTAATCCAATGGCCTCAGCAGACTGGACATGATTCATGGATGCCCCAGACCCACACAGCAGCTCTAAGACCCTCCCTGTCCCCTATTCCTTTTCCCAAGAGACACTGAGACCTACAGGAAACAAACACAATCTCACAATGCAAGCAATACACATAACTATTTGTGCATGCACAGGTGTGTATATATGTGATTGTGGGAAGAGCAGGACATCACAGGAGTCCAGCTGTGTAGCCCACCCACTACTCTACCCTCACTCAGTCCTTAGATGCCCGATGGACAAAAATAGCACAGGTGACACATATGGACAAACATACCTGGTCAAACGTGGAGTAAGGTCTAGGTCTGTGTGTCTCTGACCTGGAGGACATCTCTTTACACACACACACACAATTTTCCGCATCCCCTATTCCCCAATACCTAACACAGTGTCCCACCACTCATCTGTCAGCTTGTACTGTAGTGGCTTGCATGTTGCTATGATGCTGAAACTAAGCCACCAGTATTTCAAATACCAGCAGAGTCACATGCCCATTGTGGACAGGCTTCAGTGGAGCTTCCAGACTAATGCAGATGAAGAAAAAAGGCCTGTGATCTATTTCCGAAGGTTAACCAATGAGAACCCTATGGATCACATCAGAATGTTGTCCAATGTAGTACTGGAAGATGAGCCCCTGGACTGGAAGGCACTCAGTGGCTTTAGCAATGGGCTTAAACATAACCATGATCATGAAGACAGCAGGCACTCAATGGCTTTAGCAATGGGTCAAACAAAACCACGACCATGAAGATGGCACAGGACTGGGCAGTCTTTCATTCTGTTACATGGGCTTGCCATGAGTCACAGCCAACTCAATGACAACTAACACCAACAACAACAACACCTTGTCTTGCTCATATGCACTGCCATTGAGTCAGATCCGATTCACAGCAACCCCTCCTTGGGTTTCCGAGGTTGTTATCACTATGGAAGTAGACTGACCAACCTTTCTTCCAAGGCGTGGCTGGTAGGTTTGAACTGCTCTTATTAATGTTTGTCAAACAAATGGAAGGTTGGCTATAGTTAATTATCAAAGAAAGAAGCCAGCCTCAGATTCTCCTGTTCACAGAAAAGGAAGTATCTCCAGCCCCCAAGTGTGCATGGGTTTACTAGCAAGCGAACGCAAAGGGAATCAGAGGACAGAGATGGTGGGGGGTTCCTGAAGGACTCACTCTTTGGGATTTCCCCCTCACTCACCTCTAGATCCCTAATTCCCCCTTTCTCAGCTCCAAGAAATCCAGTCCCTTTCCTGAGGCAGGTGAGTGGATGGGACTGAGCCCAGGCAAGCCTTTTCCTTCCTGAGAGATAATTTCCTTACATTTTTCTGCCTTCTCTCACATGCATTTATGAAGCTAACTCAGGCTTCCCACTGAGACCCATGGTTAGCCAAGGAAAGGGAAAAAGAATGGAAATAGGCACTTGTAGCAGAACCCAACTCTAGCTCAGCCCAGATGCCCTCTATCCCAAACATGGTGACGCCCAAGACCCTGGCTATTTAGACCAGACAGCAAATGGAAGAAAGTGTGAATATGGAGGGCTGAGACTGGAGAGAGAGATTCTGAGTAATCTTACAAGGTTAAACTGCTGTTTGTTGAATGTGGAACATACATACAATGGAATACCATGCAGCCATAAAAAGAAATGAGTTTCCAATCACACAATACGGATGAGCCTGGAGGACATTATGCTGAATGAAATAAGTCATCACAAAGGGACAAATATTGTATGATCCCACTTTTATGAAAGAGTGGCTATATATATCCAGAAACCAATGTTCACTGGTGGTTACCAGGAGGGGGAAGGGGAGGAAGAACATTCTCTAGGTAGTAGTTACTTTATGGGGATGGGAAAGGTAGCACCAAATGTGAGTGATGTTTGCTCAGCTTGACTACTATAATTGATGCCACTAAGTTATCTATAGGAGCTCTGGTGGCATAGTGCCTAAGGCATTTCACTGCTAACCAGAAGACTGGCGGTTCAAACCCACCAGCCACTCCTCGGAAGGAAGATTGGGCAATTTACTTCCGTAGTGATACTGCCTCGGAAACCCAAGGAAGGGTCACCATGAGTCGGATCCGACTCAACGGCAGTGAGTGAATAAGTTATCTGTAAGAAAAAGGATAAATTGGCAAACACTATGTTATGTATTTCACAACAACAACCAAAAGATAGACAGATACATAAACAGGTAAATATCGTAATATCAAATGGGAGCTACAGATGTGGATACTTCTTAGAAATAACCAATCACCTCAAATGATTCGTTTTCTTGGTTTGAAGACTTAGGGTCATAGTCTCATGAGTCAATTCAGTCAACTGGCCTAACACAGTCCATAAAGTTCATGCTCTACATCTTAGTTTCATTAGTAGGGTCTGGGGTCTTCAAAGCTTATGAGCAGCCATCTAAAATACAACTATTGGTCTCTATTCATCTGAAACAAAAGGAATAAAGAAAGTCTAAGAATCAGAGAAGGAACCAAAATACAGGATTAACTGTCTCCATGAACCAAGGTCTCCTCTACCTTGAAACCAAAAGAACTAGTGGGTGCCTGGCTAACACTGCTGAACATTCTGATCAGGGTCACAGTAGACAGATCCTGATAGAAAGGGGGGGAAGGTGTGTGACATAACTTCAAATTCTCAAAGAATACAGATCCACTGGACCCAAAGGATCTCAAAGGATCCCTGAGACTACTGCCCTGTAAAACTCTTTAAACGCTGAACAGAAATTATCCCCTGAAATCACCTTTTAATTAAATAGCCATGTAGCTCAAAGAGTAAAGAATGTCACCCTTAAGAATGTGCTCTTTTAAAAATTATTCGTATGAGATGAAAGGAACAACAGTTACTCTAAAGCATAGATGAGTTTATGGCCAATGAGATTAAATTAATGGGAGTGAAGTAACTAGGACAGAAATAATGAGAATGCTGACACCAACTGAAAATTGTAACCAATGCCACTGAACACTGGGTGTAGAAATTGCTGGATGGGAATGGGAATCTCTTTTGCTGTTTATACTTTCATCAAAAATACAATAAAATAGATGGAAAAAGAGCTGTTTCAGCTCTCTCTTAAATAGCTTGCATTATCCAATATGGCAGCCAGAAGTCACATGTAGCTGTTAAGCATGTGCAATTTAGCTCGTCTCAATTGAGATGTGTTGTAAGTATAAAACACACACCTGATTTCAAAGATTTAGTATGAAAATATATATATCCAGATATAAAATACTTTAAAAAGTAAAAAAACTTCAACAATATCTAAAGTTGTTGAAATGATAATATTTTCAATATTTTAGGTGAAAGAATACTATCAATATTAATTTCACTGGCTTATTTTTACATTTTTTTAAAGAATATAAAATATCTCATATTATTTATAATGAAATTATATCATATACAAATTATATTATTTTGGATGTCTGGAATTGTGATAGTTCAGTGTGCGTGTCAACTTGGCTAGGCCTGCCTGGCTGAGTAGCTGGGCAGCTGGTGGTAGTTATTCCCCATGATGAGACTGGCAATCAGCTCCATGGTGGGATCTACCACAAGCAGCTGAGTAGCTGCCTTTGGGATGTAGTCTGCATCCTGTAAATAATCAGAAGCCTTGGGGAATGGTCTCTAGCTTATGGCACGCTTGGACCCTGCATGTAGCTGTGTCGTTGTTCAGCAGCCTGCCATGCTCTGCTGACTTTGGGACTTACAATGGACTTAAATGAATGGCCTGCCATGTGGTTTGGTAACATCGGGACTGTGCCTTTTTATTTGTCCACCTTGGGTTTGTCAGCCTCAGCAGCCAGCAGCTGTCTGAGTGAAGAAACACCTCTAGCTCCAGTGGGCCGAGAGCAGGAGGCAGAGCTGGACCCCAAGGTTGAGGGGCTTTCACCCAGTCCCTAGAGCCTGGCACTTTGAACTTGAACTTAAAGCTTCCAAGCTGTAAGAGAATAAACTCTTGTTTGTTAAGGCCAACCCATTTGTGGTATATTCTTGTCAGAGCAGCACTAGGTAACCAGAACAAGGATTATATAAAAGTATTAAAATTAATTTCATCAGTTTATTTTTACTTGTTTTAATATGGCTGCTAGACACTGTTAAATGACAAACGTGGCTCTGGGGAGAACCATAACTTCCAGCGGCCAATCAGTCACAATTGAGAATCGTGCATGCCCAAAATGGCAGCCAACACAAGTTTTACTGGCATCTGGGTCAGATACTGTTGTCACATTCCTCCCCTCTGCAGGACAGCCAGCTCCAGTTCTAGTTTTCTCACCCGACCTCCTCTCTTTGCCGAGACAAGTGGATAGCTGGGGCTGGGCCCAGTCAACACCAGCAAGCTCTTCTGCTGACCGGGGCTGCTCACACAGACACTGGGCCACTTCTTGTCTGTGATATTCCATCACTGCGCCCCACAACTACTACCTCCTGCTCCTCTTAAAATCTCTTTTTCTGTGAAAAGGAATGCTGGCCCCACCCCAGGGCTCATTCAGGCCTTCTCTTTGGGTGGAAATGTTTCTGCCCTTTGGGAGTTTGACTCATCAGTGACTTCATCAGGGGGAGGCCCATTAAATGGCCCTGCTTGGAGGCCAAGGACTTATGAGATAGCAACTCTATCAGCATAAAGGCTCTGGACCTTTCTCTCCTTTGTGTAAGATAAACAGGTTGCCTAAAATGGAAAAAGTGCCCCAATGAAGACAGAAATGGGGTCAGAAACAAGAAGGTCAAAGGGTATCTCAGAGACATACCAGCAAGTTAGGAAAAGTCAGCCTAGGGGGGAGGAGAGAAAATCCTCATTTTCCTTTGCATGTAGGATGAGAAAAGACTCAACCTCTAGGAAAATCCCCTAATATGGGACCCCACAGTCAGTCAGTCTGGATCCTAAGACTGGGATTGCTGCTTCCCTAGATGCATGGTCATAGACAAAGGGAAAGACAGTGGTCTGATGCCATGGAAGAGGACAAGTGGGAGGAGGGAGGGGAAGGTGAGATGAGTCCTTAAGATGGGAAAAGGCAACTTCCAACCCTTGCACAACTTTGTTGGTACACTCCCTCCACCCCTCAAGACCTGGGCACTTATACTGGCTAAGGTTGGGGGCAGGGTTGGAGGTGACACGGCAAGATAGGTTTAGCAGGGAATTCTTACCACCACTGGGCAGGGGGCTGGTCGGGGAGGTTGCCTCCATCTCCTCGAAGGCCTCCTTGTAGCTGTGCAGATGGGGCTGCAGGGAAAAAACAAAAGGTAGGAAAAAAGGGGGGATCCACTGGTGACCACAGCCCTGAGGAGTCTACATTTCCCCTTCAGATGGCCTGGGAAACAAGGACAAGGATGTCCTGGCTCACGATCACCTCACCAGCCTGACCACCCACAGCTCCTCAGGTAAACAAGAGATTAAGCGAGATCTGGGCCATTCGTGGCCCAACAACTCCTTGTACTTGAGAATGAGAAAGTGTTTTCAAGGCCATTGTCAAGAGTGGACAAAATTCTGGAGCATCTACCTTGGAAATATTTCAGAACAAGGCAGCAGCCAAAGAGAAAGGTTTTGGGGTGGGGGACTAAGGCTCTATCAGAAGGCAGGAGAAAAAAGATGTCCAAAAGCCATTTATATATAGAATGGCTCGTTAGTCTGGATTTTTGGGACAGTTACAGTCTCTCTCCAAATGTGGTCCATGGGCTGCCAGCATCAGAGTCATCGAGGGTGCATGCTGAAAATGCAGATTTCTAGGCCCACCCATAATTCCTACCTGGGAATCTCTAGGGTAGATTTGGAAGTCTACATTTTTAACAAACTCCCGGGTAACTGCTCACTAAGGTTTGAGACCTACTGCCTCCAACTACTGAAATGTCTCAAAATGCAACCATGTTGGCATCCAAGTTATATCTCCCAGGGAAACCCTATATGATCTGGTTTAGAGTTTAGAAATTGTGGTTACCTTTGTCATACCCAAGAAGCCTGGTGGTGCAATGGTTAACTGCTAACTGACAAGTCAGTAGTTCGAAGCCACCAGCAGCCACAGAAAAGATCTGGCAATCTGTTCCCACAAAGATTACAGCCTAGGGATTTTATTTTATTAACTTATTGTGATTTTGGGAGCTCTGGTGGCATAGTGCCTAAGGCATTTCACTGCTAACCAGAAGGCTGGTGGTTCAAATCCCCCAGCCACTTCTTGGAAGGAAGATTGGGTAATCTACTTCCGTAGTGATACTGCCTCAGAAACCCAAGGAGGGGTTGCTATGAGTCAGGAGTAGGGATCGACTGACCGACCACAGTGAGTTTGGTTTTGGTTTGTATTGGTGCTTTGGGTGAAAGTTTACAAAGCTGATTTGTTTTACTTTCAACAGTTCATACACATTTTGTTTTGTGACACTGATTACAATCCCTGCAATTAACAGCTCTCCTCCCACTTCCTCCCTGGGGTTACCCTTTCCCTGCATCCTTCTTGCCTCTGCATTCCTGTCTCCCTCTTTTTCTCCCTGTACAAATGCTGCCCTTCTGATTTCCCCATGGTTGAATGTTCTAAGGAGTGCATCTCCCTGTTTATTGTTTGACTGGGAGGTAAGCCATGGGAGTGAGTTCAATTCCAGGCCTGAAGGGTGACTTGGGGCCATAGTCTTAGAGGTTTCACTCATCTCTACCTGACCAGTAAACCTGGTCTTTTTTATGTTTTTTAATTTTGTTCCACATTTTTTTCCCACCCTATCCAGGATCTCCAATTTTGATCCCTTTCTGAGTGGGTGAAAGTTACCTACTCATTGCTGTGAAGTGGGATCCGACTCATAGCAACCCCTCCTTGGGTTTCCGAGGCAGTATCACTACGGAAGTAGATTGCCCCATCTTCCTTCTGAGGAGTGGCTTCTGGTTAGCAGTCAAATGCCTTAGGCACTACGCCACCAGAGCTCCCTGAAAGATTACAGCCTAGGAAATTCTATGGGAGCAGTTCTAATCTGTCATGTAGGGTCACCATAAGTCAGAATCAATTCAATGGCATACAGCAACATGTCATGTCCTATATCTTTAACCATTCTAAGGGACTGTCTTCAAAAGTCAAGAAGGGAACTTCAGTGTAATATAAGAAGTGTCAAGAATTGGAAGAATAAAATCTCTTTGTGTGTGGGGTGGGGGAAATAGGGTCCAGATGCTACATGTCACAGAAGAGGAATATGGGTTAGCATACAGTGAGGACAAACACTACTATAGGCTTACTGAGAAGTCAGCCCCACCAAGGTGACCTTCAGGTCCCTAGAGGTCTAAAGTGGGCTCCACTTCCCTCTGTGGCCCAGGAAAAGGCCAAGGACTCACCTCTTTGGGACGCCCTCCAGGATTGAGAGCAATGGTAAGAGCCAGCTCCGGGGAGACACACTGGACAGGGGAGCGGACCCCAGGGCTCCGGGGGGATGTGGGTTCTGGAGACTGGTTTTCATACTGTCCATCACTGGCCGCCCGCCTCTGGAGAGGGGCTGGAGGCTCTGCAGGCTGCTTCTCCCGAGCCTGTACTCCTGAGAGGAATGGCAGGGGTGGAGGACCATAAGCATATTGTACAAGATATGAACACTATAGCCTAACTCCCTCACCTAGAGAAGGCAGCCATCTTAGGTCAGGGGCGAGCTAGAGCTGAGCCAGTCTCCCCTCAGCACCTCCCCAGCCTTCCTCAGCCCAACTTGGTCCACACCCGGGCTTTCTCTGCCGGGTGGGGGATCTGCTTAGACTGGGCTCAGTCTTCACCAGGGATCTCTACTCCCACACTGCACTGGGGCCAAAAGCAAAAAGGACTGATACAAGAAACAGATGTCAACTCCATCCAACCCCTGGAGGCAGAGGCCAGAACTTCCAGGCAAGGGAGGGAAGGTGGAGGGAGGGAGAGACAGTCTCCAAGGCAACTGCATCAACCAACAAGCAACATCAAGTCCATGGGGAAGAACTACTGGAAAGAGCTAAGAATGAATCATCTTGCAAATGGTGCTCCCAAAGAAAAACAAAGGAAGAATAAACTCTTATTATAAAGAGTCCCCAACCCCAACTGTCCCCTGGGATTGCTGGCCTTCTCTAGAGTTCCCCAATGAAGGAGAACTCATCCAGTACGCCTCTGAGACCTCTCCCCAAGCTCCCTTCTATTGGTCCCTTAGCTACCCACCCCTTTCCTTGCCCCCCAAGATGGCGGAGACTCCCACTCTGCCTCTCCCAGCAGAACAGCAGGGAAAGAAAGCCCTGAAGTCACATGCACCATCTGCTTTTCGGCACTTCCCTTTCCACTCCACCATAGGCCTGGGGACATTGTTAACCTCATTAGCCTCCCTTCTCACTGCCTCTTCCAACAGCTGGGCTGAGGGAATGCAGTCCGTCACCTCATTGAGCTGGCTCCCCATATCCTAGAAAACTTATTTCCTGGTTCACAGAGGCCAAGACCTCACCCTGGACCAGCGCAAACGGTGGACTCCTAATTGTGATAATCACAATTATCTTCTGGGAGAAGAATCTCAGCCCTGCATTCACCACCACTACGCAGGAAAAGGAAGACAGCTGCCCAGTAAGGTGCTAGAACTTACCAGAGGTCCCAGGTCACACGGGACTGGGGCCCTGGCCCTGCCAGCCTCATGCCAGCACCGCCCCATGGTGTGTGCACACACACACACATTCACACATTCACCACTGGCCCCCAGGAATGTGCTGGAGCCAAGTTAGGATCATCCCTATCCAGGAATCACCTTCTACCATCCACTGTGGGGTCTTCATCCCCTAGGCTGTCTTCAGCTCCCTGGGCATCTCTGGCACGCCACAAAATACACCATAAAAAACTCAGGCTGGGAAGTTTCCTTCCGACTTACAAACAACAGTCTTCCGGCTGCCAAGTGCTGGGACGGACACATACAGTCACTCTGAGACACGCACTCACACTCTCCATAATTAGGGCCCATCAGGAGAGCACAGGATGAGCATAGCATCCAGACAGTAAGTGCAGAGGTCCCGGGTGGGGTTTTGAGCCTCACTTTGGGCCCTTTACTATTTAGAGGCAGCCCTGTCATCTCCACCAGGAAGCACCTGATGGAGGTGGGAGCTGGACTCTGCTCCCCACAAACTGTTTTAATCAAAGCACATAAGCCTTGATAGGCCCTTATATTCAAAATAGGAAAATGGAGGCTGCATTAGTCCTACACATGGGCTATTAAAGGAGCTGGTGGCATAGTGCCTAAGGCATCTGACTGCTAACCCAAAAGATTGGCCTTCAAACCCAGCAGCCATTCCATGGAAGGAAGAAGGGGCAATCTACTTCCGTAAAGATTTACCGCCTCAAAAATCCAATGGAGGTCACATTAAGCCTTAATCAGATGAAAGATGGGACACGGTTTTGACAGGGTTGAACAGTGCACTGGAACTGAATTGCATGATCTGCGCTTCCGGGGCTCATGGTGCAGAGACCCCGCCCTTGGCCATGCCTCTCCCCACCTCCTGTCCCTTCCTCCCATAGGCCTCCTGGCAAGTTTGGTCCAGAGCTGCTGCTAGTTTCATTCCTGGCAAAAAAACATTAAAGGGAAACAGACATATTCATTGATTTTCTAATAATAATTGCGACAAAGAAGGCCCATTTTGGAAAGGCTCTTGGGGTTTGGAACGGAGTTGAGCTCCAAGGTTAAAAGAAAGGTATTAGGGCTAGTCTCAGTTCCCAGCTTACCCACCCCCTGGCAGCCTCTTTCTGGCAGACTCCTTGGCCTTTTTAAGAGGTGGCCAGTTTTCCTGTCTGGAGGTTTGGTATTCACTTTCAAAAAGTGGGTTTGTCTCCATTTGAGGCACTGAATCTCCCAGAGAACATTCTCCCTGCTCCACCCAGGACATCCCACAGGCTCATGTGCCACGGTGGCAGCCGCAGCACGGGGACGAGGCTGGCCTACAGGAAGCCTCCCCAGAAGTAGAGGACATGAGAAATGGAAAAGAGATCATCGGGACATCAGAGAATCACACCTCCTAAATTTTCCTTCCCCAACAGCATCCGCCTGGCACTTAGGAGGTGGGGGGATGGACAGAATGATCTCCAAAGAGTGAAGGCGCTACAGGACAGGGCCTCCCTCTACGAATGGGGAAGACTTCACATTCCACTCCCACAGGGCCAGCCCCTCCCTGACAGGAAACCCCACCACACCCGTGGCCAGTGAGGGACATCTTACAGTCTTTGGACACAGTGCCTCACTGTTGTCCCCCTTGGCAAGCCCAGATATGCCCTGAAGTGCATGGACAGCCATGTTGCCTCTGTCTTTTTTTTTTTTTCCATGATGGGAGGGGAGATGAGGCATGGAAGAGGGGAGAGAAGAGAGCCCCATTGTTCCTCAGCCAAGCTGGAACACTGCTTGCAAGCTGACAGCCAGTGGCAGAAAGAGAACACCCCTCTCTCACGTCCCAGAGACTGACTGATAATCAGTCTCTTGGCTCTGTGCTCTCTCTCAAGGACCTCTGTCTCTATGTGCTCTCTCCCTACACACACACACACACACACACAGGTACATACACAGGCACACATACACACAAGCATGCACACATACACACCACCTTAACCAAACAGGAATGGCTGCAGGACACTGGAATGATGGGGCACCGAGTGAAGTCACTGAGAAACCCTCAGGGCATGGACAATCAGCTCTACCCAGCATGTGATCTGAGGATGTCAATGAAGAAGGGAGGAAAGGGAGCCACCCAGTCCAGGGGACTCCAGAAGGTCTTGCCAGCAGGCTGGTGAGTCCAGCATTCCACTCAGAGGAGTGGGAAGCCCTATGGTCTTTAGAAAAACAGCATCTACATTTCAAGAGCCTCTTGTGGTTCTACCATGTATATATAGGGTTGGCAGACAATGTTTCTACAAGTGTATTTGTATGTTCTGCAAGAATTCCCAGGTATATAGTACAGCTGACAAGGGACAAAGTTGTGGTCACTTCATCGAGAGGAAGTGAGTAGTTGGACCCGTGGGCTCAGGACCATAGTTGCAGAGGACAGCAAGCTCAATTGGCATACTACACAAAAACACTGTTCCACATCTTACTCTGGCAAGTAGCAACTGGGATCTTAAAGGCTTGCAAGTAGACATCTAGATGCAACAATGGGTCTCTCCTCATCTCTCAAGAAGAATGAAGAAAACCAAAGATTCATGGAAACAATTAGTCCAAGTGACTGGTACACCATGCAACTCTCAGCCTATATGACTATGAGACCAAAAGAACTAGATGGTGCCTGTCTACCACTGTCAACCACTCGGAAGGGAATCTATGTGTGAGACCCTGGATAGAGTGGGATAACAATGTGGAAAAAAACTCAAAATCATTAAAAAAAAAAAAAAAAAAAAAGACCAGGTTTGCTGGTCTGATAGAGCCTCATGGAACCACTGAGAATATGGCCCCTTGCTGCCCTTCAGGTCTGAAATTGAACCCACTCCTGTGGCTTCCGGCCAAACAAAAGATATGCATATGAGGTGAACATTTACATTAGGTAGATACTCCTTGGAGAGAACAATCATGGGAGAATAGAAGGGTTGTGTATGCACAGGGAGACAGCTCAGGGGGCAGGAGTGCATGGAGGGAAGGACACAGGGAAGAGGTAACTATGGGGAGGAAGTGGGAGGGGAGCTTGAGGGAAATTGCAGTCAATGTCATGAGACAAAGTATATGTGAGCTACTGGGTGGAAAGTGAATTTACTCTGTAAACTTTCACCCAAATGACAATAAAATTTTTTCTAAAAAAGAGCCTTTTGTGGTTCTTTAAGGGCTGCTTCACACACCTCTGAGGATGGGGAGGTACTTCATCCCGAGAGCCTCCCCATAGGTCCCAGACCCAGAGAGCAGGGCACCGGAACAGCCCCCTTTCCCAGGGAATCCTCACACTGCTCCCCAGGATGGTGCTAGGCTCAGAAAATAGGCTCCCCGAAAATGAGCTGGAGACATTAATGACTTTTTCAAACACACACACACACACACACTTGCTGTTCAGGGAACTGTAGTCTTCACATAAATTACCATCTATTCATACTTTGACCAAACACAGCCACTCACCACCCGTGGATCCCATACACCAGAGTCAGGCCTTGTCACATGCCTCCCTTACACCCCTGAAACGGGCCACCTCCACCCCACAGATCCAGCTCTTCTTTTTCTTTCCAGCCTTCCGATTTCCAAAAGACTGGGTTCCTCAGCTCCAGGCGGCGGGGCTAGGTGTCCGGCTGCATGCCTGGGGCTCCGGAAGCGAGGAGATCCAGGAGGCCACCTGCTGGGCCAGGGCACCAGAAAGCCACACGGCAACCACACTAGCAGCCCCAGGGCAAGCCATGCCAGCTCCCCTCAGGACAGGTCCACCACCCCAGAACCTGCCTCAAACCCCAGGCCCCACTAACACTGCACTCCCCACCACTGGGCCGAGAAAGGTAGAGGAAGAGGAGAAGAGGAGGGAAGGTAGTCTGTCTGCTCGAGCTGTGTCCCAATTATCTGTTGACTGGGGGAAGGGATCAATGAAAGCCCTAGACACT